TAATCTTGTTTTTCCTCTCTTTTCTGTTAAATAAGCTGTTATTACGTAGACTAGTTGATGAATATCTCGACAGAAAAATCACTTACTCACACCAACCAAAGTATATACTGGATATTCTAAAATGCGTACTGGAGAGGAATTTCCCTGAATTCAGTGATTCATTTCATCGTGAAAGAATATGCGCTTATCTGAAAGCATGCAGACGTAACGCCAAAAGAAGGAATGGTGAACCGTATGTGAGAATGAGTGCACGTTATCTAAGTTCTGGAAAGGCATCCAGTTTGGCTGAAACTATTTACCTGAAAGAGCAAAGTTATTTAAACAATATGATTTCAGTGAGTGATTATCTGTAGAAATGAACAATGATAATTTTAGAACACAGAAAACAATAAGTTGATTGGGCAAGCAGCACCGATGGTTGGTTGTCGTGAGACAACTGGAAATGAGATTAAAAACACAAACAAGCTGATTCATCATCAATCACAATTACATAAATTTCATCTCCAACAGGTTGACCCACAAATTACCACTCACACAATGAGCTATAATGATGACAATGTGAAAATTAACAACAGTCATGATTTTCCTGTAAATTCTGACGAAGAGATTCCTACTTCATCGAATTCTGTTTCTCAACAAGTAAGTGAATTTATTAATATCTGACTATTTAATTATGATGTACAGCATATAGATGGGACTGTATTTGTGAAATTATTAGAGCAAACAGCTGAATTTCTTCAACTAATAGCCAATCGTCTAGATGCTGGTCAAGAAACGTTCTCCTAAAATAAACTTGATAATGTCGAATCATAAACTGTGTTACTTAGATACATCATTTGTTCGTGATGTTTATATTATCTTTTGAAGTGTTTAATTATTACTAAAATTTGCTCTTTTCTTATGCACCAATATTGTCGTTCTCGTAGGTGTTAAAATTCAGAATAATGTAACGGATTTTAGTTAAACATAGTCGACATAGAGCCTAGAACAAAAGTACGTTACTCCAAGCTGCAACACGGCGTTAGCACGATGCGATAAAATTGGCAAAATGAATGGCAAACGAGTAGAAATAATGTGGTAGCAATTGTAGTCATACATACTACACATTGAGAATGTTTTGAAAAGATGGAATGAAAACCTGTGTACAAAGGAATACTGAAACTCAAGATTGGGAGTTAAGGAGTGGATGTATTTGCCCCACTGTGATTGATCCTGAACCATCTTACCCAATGTATTTAACAAATTTACTACTTACAGGCTCAACACTAGCTGTGTGAGGTACTAGTGAAACTAATCAGGAGCCAAACCGAAGTAGGCGGATCTTGGTTCAAATCTGTGACCCAATAATTAAAAGCAAGAAATAACTTAATTCGTAAACCATTATTCAAAGTAGTGGGACTACCATTAATGATACAAAAAATGATCGCAGTTATCGAATTAGAATCACGTATTTTATGAAACATTTTGTCAGATAACATTAAAATTATGACTTGCTTTATATTTGATAGACCACTCAAAAATAACTAATGTCACGTTATCCAGTCCTTAATTTCAATCGGATCTTATTGATTAAGCTGCAATGTGACTATTTGGTCAAACAAATTAATACTACAGTACAATTTTATGTTTAACATTAACAGATTCACTTTACACACATGATAATTAGTAACACTTGTGAAAAAATCAAAGTGTTTTATCTAGAATTCGATCAAAACATCCAAATAAATTTGGCTCAGACTTTTGCTCTAGTTAGATCTTAAACAGTAACTTACACTAAGTCGTGAACCGTCAGTCTTCTTTTTTTCTACTCGTTGGGAAATATTACTAATAAATTATCTTGTTGTTTCGATGGAAGGTTGAACTGTATCAACAAATAAGTCATTAGTAAAGGAAAGTTTCTTTTTAACAGGTAAGTTAGAAGTAATAGGGGAAAAACTGAAAACAACTTAATTAACAAAGGTATTAGAAGGATGAATTTACTTTTGTAAGATGATTGTTCTTAATAAAGCAGGGTTCACTAAGTTTTTCCACTTGAGACTGTTGTTTGCCACATAATCTTAGCTAGAGAACTATTGAAAGCAATTGATGATTGGACATCTGCTTAATTTTGTAGGATTAAATTAACTCATTTACCAGATACTAGGGTAGGGGCCACACTCGAATGATATTATCTAGTTGACCGAACCGAAGTAGGCGAAGCGGAGTTCGGACCTGGGATTCAGAGGTTGAAAGTCGAACACCTTAACAACCATGCAACTGCTCTACACGTAGTATGAGATATCACAGTAGATCTTTTAGCTAAAGCAGTTTCATCATATTCAAGGTTAATAATTGCATTTCAAAATGTATATAACTTTAAAGTTTACAAATACCAGTGAGAAAAAGCTTCAATCTAAATTCCAGCTATACGAAAAATGTATATCAGTTATTTTTTATAATAGTTAATTTTTGTTTAGCTAACAAACCAAAGGACACAGAAATTATCAGTACAATTCCAAAACAAGTATCCCTTGATTTGGTGTATATGACAGAGTAGACATCTATAATTAGTTAAGACAAAAGGATGATACCTTCTAATTATAAGTATTTACATATCAATATTCAGTTAGATCTTAACACTGCAATGTTTTAGAAAATATTACAGATTTTAAATAAAATAACTTACATAAACACAACCTTGTTATTAATAGCAATAGATTGTTTAGAAAAAAACATTTCATACATAAGTTATACCATCTATATTATATTATTCTGAGAAAAAGTCCGTTTAAATAGAAAAATAACACTAGTTGCTAAGAGTTAATATTTAAATAAACCTGAGAAATAATATGTTTGTCAATGAATTTATTGAAAAAGGATGACCTCTCTGAATTGTTTTAAGGTTATATATGAAGAAAAATGGAAATGATGGTATAAGATCTAAGGAGATAAGAAGTGAATAACACCTGGAAAATTAAGACCGATTTCGGGTCATATCGCTTAATGTCTACAACCATTGATCATGAATATTACATTGTACTTGATCAGGGAATCAACACCACCCCACACAATTCACCTTAACAGTCAATGACTTTATGGGCTAGTAGTCTGTTTTGGCTTGATCACCACCTCAGCTTTTGTTCAACCTACTTCTACACTAAAAAGCAAATATTAAAGAGTACGATTAGAGCATGAACTAAAAGAATACACAAGTTTAGACCAACAAAATATTAATATTAGAAATAAGTAAGCACATATATACTGTCAAGTGTAATTTTCATTTTCACCGTACAACTTCCCAAATCTTTTTCGTTTTAAAAATATTGGCCAAATATCATAGTTCTTTATGCACCTTCCATGGAAATTTCATGACTTAGTAAAGTATAATTTGCATTACAATTCTCAGGTATTTTCAACTAATATTTATACTCCATCCCATAAGATACATTCAAATAGCGGCAATATCTACCTAGTGTAATTATGCTGTAAACTTGACGATAACTACTCTCTAGTAACACAATTTGTAAAAAAAAACGATATATTATTTATTTAGCAATTTCAATGTATTAATCTCGAAGAAATAAAAAAAACAATAATTAAGAGGTACATAGGCCATATATATATATATATATATATATATATATATATATATATATATATATATATATATATATATATGGTACATTATACAAATCGCAACGATATCAAAGATAGGCATCATCATTATTGAGTACATTTCAAAACGAGTGTGATCCTATCGAGCTGTGTTGTTTTTTCTCATTTGCAAAGACCGTTATACACAAATACATACACAGATCTAGTATAATATTATGTCAAATTTAGAGAAAAATATCAATAGCACCAATTCACTGCAAAGACCTAAGCATTACCAATTGATCAAATATCTAGTTTTTTTGCATTGTTTCAGTAGAAGTATTAGTAGTATTGGTAGAAACATAGAAGCAAAAAAGAGCACCTTTTCTGGAGCAATCGAGAAGCCGAAATGATAGTGAAGAATGGAAAAAGTGAGAATCACAGAACATTAAAAAAACGAATGAACAATAACATTTAGACAGAAACGGTACTCATGAGTAGTACTAAAAAAGAAAGAAGTGAACTTCGGAGAATCGAACTATTACACTTATACAAGTGTGTGAAGCATTAACAGAATTCCTTTATGTGGGAAGGTGATTAACTTGTGAATCTTACATAAATTAATATATAAGACTAAATAAAAACAGACGAACAGTTGCTGAGACTGTGTCCCACATATAGAAAAGATATGCATTGTGACAAACAGATAAGATTTGAGACAATATAAATCAATTTCGGTGTCAAACACAAGGAAAAGCGAAAAAGATAATTTCCTAAATACTCATGAAGAACAAACCAAAAACCAACTCGGAAAGGAGTACATTTAAACTAATTTCAGTTATTGATTTGAAAGTTTGTTTAAAATTATAATCCTAGAAAATCACGTGAATAGAACGTGTAAAAACAATAACAACAGGTAAACAAAATGCTTTATGATCGCCAATGTGTTTAGTTACGAATATAAATAGATAAATAAATTTGTACATATAGTTACATTTATAAAGAACTGTGTGTAATTCGATAGGAAATAAATAAATACGCTAAACACTTTGAAAAGAATTCTCAAAAATACGAAACATCATCACACCGGCTATTTTGATGATGAGTGCACTTTCATCAATTAAGTTGGGGTAAAAATCACAAATACATAAGTGGGGACAACCAACCTGACCCCCTTCTCTTTGAGAGAACAAAAAACAACAAATAATGATTGTTTATATTAACTTTTATAGAAATAAGCACATGCACACATACGACAGGAAGGTAAAGAATAAAAGAAAGAAGGAAAAAGTGAAATCATAAAACAAACGTAAAAAGATTCTAAAAATAAAATTTGATCATTTGTTGAAAAATAGAGATAACGAGATTAACAAAATTTTTACATGTTCTCCCATATTTCTTGCTTTCATTCACATTCTACACTGAATTCATGGAGCACGAATCTGAGAACTTTAAAAATATAAAAAAAAAATTTCGACTGATATCAACCAACTTATGATCATATGCATTAAAATAAGAAATATTAAAATCTAATAAATGTGATTCCAAATGCTATAGTACGTCCAATGTTGATAGTTTCCTCTCCTTCTCGAAATGTTTTCATGAAGCCGTGCGTCTATATAATCTTCTAGGGAAATGAGAGGATGGAAAGCGAACATCTGTTGCTTAAATTGGGTTGGTGGTTACCGTGGGTCCACCAGACGGTGTTGGAAAACTGTGGTTACAAAACACTGGTGCCCATAAGCTGCAAGATCATGAAGGAACAAATAGTGTATAGACCTATTTTTGGTGACTACTTGCCACTGGAAAGCACCTTCCAACGTTGGTTCACTGTCTTGCAGATTAGATCTTTAGGTCAAAGGTTTCGAAGCCCCCGAGAATATCCCAGTATAAACATAAATATTTTATGTGAACTATATTTTTGGTGCATAGCTGTGCCTGGTTCTACGTTGTAACTGACTGCATAGCTGTCATATATATATATATATATATATATATATATATATATATATTGCATGTCCGTGCGCGCGATTAATCGTCCCGACTTCAGATACTGTAGTTACAGTTATACGGATACAGTTTATACTCTCAGTGTATCACTTGTTTGAAAATAATACTATGTACTTATGACTGGCAATGATAAATATGCTTTTTCAGTGTGATACTTGGGTTGTTTGACAAGAAAGAAATGAAAAGATAGATACACTTTACTAACTGTTCATCAAGATGTACAGGTTTATGCTGATCTTTACAAAATTGTACACTTTTTTCTTCGTTTGTAGTTTTCCACTTTTCTCGGATATTGTATACTGGCCATATGTGATTCACGAATTTTTTTACCAATTTCAAGAAATACCTGTATAATGAATGAAATATAAATAAAATTAAATGAATAAATAATTTAATAAAGACTCCTTATGATAATCTATTTTGATTGTGACATAATATGTAGAATTTATCAAGGTGATAAGACATCAGCTTAACAAGCATTATTCACAAGTACGTATGTGTATAGGACTTCATTGGATGTAGTTCGTCACTTCGCTTAAACGAACGCGTTTAGCTCTATGAATGGAATTAAAGTTCTATTATCTTTCCAAAAGTAATCGACAAAATAATAGAATAAAAACAACCAGAATATGAAAAACTCCTCACCAGTTTTTGTGGGATATCCAAAACGGAATAAATTTTACCTTTCATCATATAAAATACACGACAGAGATGTCATAGTGTAATGCTCTGAACGTTTAAGATTGTTAAGAAATCCTATTTTTGTCATCATAGAGTAGACGTACCAAGTGTTTGATTTTTTTAACATAAGATGTGAATCATCGTGTTTTTAATTCAGTTTACTTTAATTAGAGTAAACTCATACAGAAATAATTTGTTATTAGCGTTCTACTGAATAAAAATGCTAAAATGGATAATGATTTTTACGCATAACTTCTTTAGATTGGTATGATGTGACAATGATGTTTCGCTTATAATTTTACTTTCGTTACTCCAGTGAATTTATCAATGACGACTTTGTAAGCCATGATGGATTTTCTATACAATAGTTTATGGTTGTGAAAAAGATTTACGGGGAAACCCTAAGCGTGAATATATTTTCACTCAGATCATTGGGGTTATATAGAAATACTTTTTATAGTGTTAAGATTGGAAAACCGATAATAAGCATTGAAAACTGTATATGATTTATATCTCTATTAAAACTCTTTTGATCTATATAAACTTCTCAATGAACAGAAAGTGTTTTCAAAATCGTGAGGCCATTTTACGGTTTGCTCAAGCTTATGGCGAACAAACTTTTGAAGATTTAAGTTGTAATGGTTGTGATTATCACACTTTAGTAATAGCTCAGGTTATGGTTACTAAGTAAAATATACTATTATTAACTAGTGAACTACATGAACATTTATGTTACAAATAGTGCCAATATTTTAGACTCATAATCTCGAACGTTTGGTCGTAATCAATTCGGTTGTTGAGTTCACATTATCTCGTGTTGACTAATCGGAATTATCGAGCAAGAGTACGGAGTGAAGTGGTTGCCATATATAACTATAAGCGCTTTAATATTTAATCGAAAACCATGTACATTACCTTGTAAAAATGCAGTCAAAAAGAAAAGTCAGTTAACAAGCGTATTAAAGGTGTTGGCAAACAGAAATGGTACGTAAACTGGGGACGGGTTATGAACGAACAGATCATCACCTCAAGTGCTGTCCGTCAATACTATCCACTATCTCCATTTTTGTTTAACTTCATCATAGACCTACTGATGGAAATAACATTCTCGTTGACTGAATTCTCGGGTATTGATCTCCTGGAAGGAGATCCACTTATCGACTTAGAATACGCAGATGACATAGTCCTGTTTGGTGAAGAGGCTAATAAAATGCAGTCTTTTGGTAGCACTGAGCAACAATGCCAGAATGTTTGTAATGCGCTTCTCTTCCTCTAAATGCAAGTTGTTGTTTCAGGACTGGTCTGCGTCAATACCTGAACTAAGGATAGGGAGTGAAGCAGTCGAACGCGTTGACAACTTCACTTATCTTGGAAGTCTGATCAGCCCTAATGGGTTGTTGTCTGATGAAATCTCAGCACGGATTCAGAAAGCTCATTTGGCTTTTGCCAACTTACGTCACCTATGTTGAAGGCGACATATCCGTCTATCAATATAAGGACGAGTATACTGCTCGGTAATTCGTTCTGTCTTTACGGCTGCAAAACGTGGCCATTAAGAGTTGAAGATACTCATAAGCTACTAGTATTTGACCACAGATGCCTTAGAAATATTGCTGGCATCTGTTGGGATCACTGGGTAAGTAATAGTGAGGTTAGACGCAAGGTATCAGGGAATGATGGTAAATCTGTTGATGAGGTTGTGAATCTTCATCGACTGAGATGGTTGGGCCACGTGTTACATATGCCTGAATACCGATTACCATGACGCGCAGTGCTGACCAGTGTTGGGGATGGTTGGAAGAAAGTTAGAAGCAGCCAAACCCAAGCATGATATCAGTGCTTGAAGCCACTAACTTCTGGTCTGAGCCATGTTGGTAGATGCACACTACTTGGTTGGGGTCAGTGTGACTATCGTCACCAATGGTGGGAGACTCTGAGTGATATGGCTCAGAAACAATCACAATGGCATAGGTGTATACACTCTCTATCTTCCCTTAAACTAAGAGATTAAAATTGCTTCATATCTTTCTTTCTACGAACTAATTTTTTCTTCCTGTACTATATCCTTACATGCAATCTTTCTTTTATATATTACCATCATTGAAGTAACTAATTTTATGAATTCCGTGTTCATCTTATAGTGCTAATGAGGTGTGGCAATTTGGACTGATGCATATATGTGTATGGTCCTATATTGTAGCTGACTGACTGAGAACATTATCTTAAAAAAGAATTGGATATTTTTTGTATTTTCATTGAAATAAACTTTTTCCTGGTCTGTACACCACCATGGAGCGAGAAGAAAATTTTCCCAACTAGAAGGGAAAGCCTTTTAAGGTTTGCTAATGCCAACTACGTACATACTTCACAAATGATCACAGTTCATGCAACACTAAGAATGATATCACAGAAAAACAATTATAATTGTATTGATGTGTTGGACAATTTCGTAACAGAAATACAGCGCACTTCAGTATAAATTCATTTTCCAAACTTTTAGTCAAATTTCCTATTGAAAGACTACTACCCAATCAATAGTAGTAACAAGCGTAGGCAGACATGAACAGGCAATCGTGTGTCCCCACCTTTATCTTCCCACTTCCCCATTTAGTCGGACAAAGTACAAACAACTCTCCATAGGAAAGAGGTTTACGAGAGCCAGTTTCGCTTCTAAGCTAAGTGCTATACATGCACCAGAGAGGCAACAAGAGGTGGCAGTTAAATTTCCAGATACACGGGAGGTAGATCGAGCCGGTTTTCTGTATTGACTACATGAGAATAGGTTAATGATCCGACATGGGTCCTGTATATGTGTTTCGGAGACATAGCATATAGTGATGGTACAAGATTCTAGAGTCTAATATAAGGGAGCCTATTGGCTTATTTGACATGAGATTCGAACATCGGAAGCGCAGGTTCAATATACCATAAACAACATCTCGTAAACTCGAACAGTTAATATTGATGGTGCATGGGGAAAATATCATAAAAGAGTTGGTGGTGGAGATAGAAAGAATATCATGAATAAGACAATCTCTAGTGCCATTAAAGGTATGAGGGCGATTGTCACTTCCCAGTCGCCCATACTGTGGAAGGATATTGCTTATTGAGGGATCTGAAGAGAAAACCGGGTTAGTGGTGGTCATAACAACCTGGAAGACGGAAATACGTGGAGTAAATTGAGATGTTTTAGCGTCAATGCTTTATGATCCCTTTCTTTCTATGTGAGAAGGCAGCATCTTTGCAGGTGCTGATTGCCTTAAGGAAACACTGTAATGATGTCACATCTCAACACAGCTAGCAGTACAACTCCACCCTCGAACCATGAGTGCTTTTGGTGTTATAGCTCCTCAACCAACCTGGTGGGTTGCTATCTGATGAAATATCGGGATGAATTCAGAAAACCCGGTTGACAACTACCAACTTGCGCCACTTGTGGCACAGGAGAAATATCCGTCTGACGACCAAAGGACGAGTATATCATGCAACAGTTTTTTCCCTTCTACGACTAATAATACTGTTACTATCTCAACTACTATGATTTTCCCTGAAAATTTCATCTCTCAGAGCTAATGGGGTATGTCAAATCAAACCAACGTGCACATGTACCAAGTTCTACGTTGCACTTTGACTGAATGAGCAATAACGAGAAGTTTCGTTGAAATACGAAAAACCGAAATATCTTTCAAAGCATTAGAATGATGAATAAAGTTAACAATTATGGGCGCCCAGTTTAAACATACCGGGTTAATGATAGGTGTAAGCTTGCAAAGAATATCCTTAAACACTAAAATAAATAGATTTTTCTATTATTACTATTAATATGAATATTGGTTCGGATCATGAGTATTGTACGAAAGTCGGTTGTAAAAAATATTGACTAACAGGAGTGTTAATCTCATTATAGAGGAGGAAGACCAACAGGTTGAATTGAATAGAATTTTGTCTACGCTTAGGGTTAACAAATATCCCAAAGAATTTTCAAAGATTATTAGAAATTAAACAAAAACTAAATTAGAGCAAATACCGAAAGATTGGAAGACAACCGTGATCATTCCATATCGTAAAGAAACATCAGAAGAAATTAAGAGGGTTATAAACAAACATAATATAAAAGTGTATTTTCGGGCTAGTGACACCATGAGATCGGCATTAGTGAAAGTTAAGGATAGGTTCCCAAAGGAAGAACACCAGAATGTTGCCTATGAGATAAACTATCATGACTGTAATACAGCTTAGATGGGAGAAACTTCTAAACAATTAATGTGAGGTTGAAGGAACATACACAATGTTTGAAAAATGTCCCAAATCCTCGGATAATCTGAAGAAACTTGAGAATAGGTCGGCGATATCGTCACATGTGTTAGAAACAGAGCACAAGATCAATTTCGAAGGGACCAAAATACTTCAAAAAAGTTTTAATACACATAAAGAAAGATTGACAGCAAAGCGCTGTATATATGGGCCAATAAGAACAGCCTGAACAGAAAAGATGGTATGCAACTAGCTACCACTTGGTAAATGTTCACATGCATCGTTATTTTGACAAAAATTAATCTGGGATATTTTAGCACTACAGTTATATATTTGATGATTCTCATTTTACATGCAAATCGATGGTTCGAAAACAATTTCAATCTGCCCTTTTATTCTTACTTCAAATAAAAAACAAATTAATACCGAATATCAACCATAAATAACTCAAACTTACACAAACACAATCAATCAGTCATTCATCTTTACATTGTGAACTTTTCGTATGATTCACAAATAACCGGTTCATATTATCCTACGTACCAAAGTCAATATCTGGATATGATTGGATAAGCACTTAGTACATATTTGATTTGATCATATACTTTTTGATAATTTTGATTTCGATTACTACCCTGAAGAAGTCCAGACAAGTTTGCTGGAATTATTTAAACTTCGATCGCAGAGTTTATTTTAAACATAATTTTCACAATTATTATTATTATTATTATTATTATTATTATTATTATTATTATTATTATTATTATTATTATTATTGTTAAAGACAATTATCTTTACGATTAAAAAAAGTAGACCAGTTGTTTACCCTTTCAGCATCACTGTATGTTTTTGCTGAAGTTTCGATAAAGTCAAGATGCCAATCATCTGCATACTGCTTGCCTTGACTGATATAATTATTTCGAACACAACCTTTTAGATCACATTTATTAGCCACAATTAACATTGGTACTTGGTCAGATTGCTTAATACGAAGAATATGCTCACTGCAATATATTACACAAAAGTACAAGTTAAAGAGTGTACAAATACAAAATCTAACAATTAACTGTTAACCGCATTTTTAATCTGACATTTTATGATAATTTCCAGCATTGTAGATAGAGGAAAGTTGATTACACTCAAAACTGTTACACAAACATAACTGTGAGTTTTATTTATTTGAACGCAAAGATATTGGTACAAGGAGGCACCAAATACATACGCGCCACACAAATCTCACTTGACTTGTGTGAAAGCTGTGATACTGTCCGGGTGCCCAAACCGAACCAGGTGGTTTTCTTAGGGGGCCACACCCGGAGCCTTCGACCTGAAGGTCTGGTCCACAAGGCAGTGGAGCATCGTGAGGAGATGCAGTCCCATGGAAGCTGGTGACCAACGATTGGTTCATACGCCATTTGTTCCCGCAGGATACTGGAGCCCATGTGCACCATTGGTTTGGAATCAGGGTTTTCCGACTCCCCTACGTGGACTCATCATGTCCACCAACCCAGTAAGAGCGCCGGACATTCGCTTTTCGTTCTCTCAATTTCGTAAACACCCCCGGCCACGAGAAGGCAGTGAGTAGGACTTCTCTGGCAGAGGCTATATACGCGTGGCCATGTGAGAGCGGACTCTCCCCACTCTCGGCCGTACCAAGGAATTTGAGGGCACTGTGAGTTTAGAACAGAGAATGGTAGATAAACAATCATTCGGTAGCCTAACTAGTAGACTTTTAACTGTTTAGCCAGACAGATATTAATTGACGGATAGTCTGCCCCCAAATGCCCTGGTACGGCCGAGAGTGGAGAGTTCGCTCTCCCTCTTGAAACGCTCTCACATGGCCACGCGTATATAGCCTCTGCCAGAGAAGTCCTACTCACTGCCTTCTCGTGGCCGGGGTTATTGTTTACGAAATTGAGAGAACGAAAAGCGAATGTCCGGCGCTTTAACCGGATTCCAAATCAATGGTGCACATGGGCTCCAGTATCCTGCGGGAACAAATGGCGTATGAACCAATCGTTGGTCACCAGCTTCCATGGGACTGCATCTCCTCACGATGCTCCACTGCCTTGTGGACCAGACCTTCAGGTCGAAGGCTCCGGGTGTGGCCCCCTAAGAAAACCACCTGGTTCGGTTTGGGCACCCGGACAGTATCACAGCTTTCACACAAGTCAAGTGAGATTTGTGTGGCGCGTATGTATTTGGTGCCTCCTTGTACCAATATCTATCTGTTCAAATAAACAAATAATAATAATGTACAAATTCTGATACAAAAAGGCACACGAAATGTATGTCACAAACAAATGAAATGATAATAGTGCAAGGAATAGGGAAGAGTCGTGAGATAAAGTAAATAAACAAACAACAGTATTCAGCAAAAGATGCGGTGTAATCGGAAATACAGCTAAGACGAATTCCTTCCAGTTAAGAGGGTTGGAAGAAAGATAGGGACAGTTGAAAAAACGTTGTGTCAGTACATGAAATCATCTATTGTTGGACTGAACCATATTGACAGATGCATGTTACTTGGTTGAGGTCCATGAAATAACTAATCCGTGGTTGAAGTCTTTAGGTGACATGTCTCAGAATCAATCACAATTTCTCGGATACATACACTTTTTATTTTCCTCCACATTTTGAGTAAGAGTATTCCTTCATACATCTATTTTGGTTCCATCTCTTTGAACTATACTCTTATAGTTTAGTTTGCTTCACTACCTTTGCGAATATATTATTTGGTATTCTCTGCTATTCATCTAGTTGATTTTATCTCGTAGTTCAGATACGTTAATGGCAAATTTGACCAACACATTTTTGACAGGTTCTACGCTGATCATGAGTGACTTCTGGAGAATGTAGTAGAAAAGTACAACGGTAACCCCAGTGGTTTGGATGATCCCTACAATTCCATGTGATCATGATGGTCTAAGAGATGTCATTAAGCTCTCTTTCGTACCACAGAGCTATGTCATAAACTGACCGCCCAGAGACGTAAATCTCGCTCTACCTACTTTAATCCTCATGAGAATAAAATCACGTGAAGACCAATTTTGCGACAATTTAAAGGTGGGTGAATATAAAATTTCCTCCCATATTATCATACAGTCTTTTCTAATTGCGTATTTTATGCTCTTTACAGGCCAGCAGGCTGAATAAGATACATTACTAAAATCTAGTCTTGAAGAAACTCAATGATAGCAATGAGTTTAAACAAATATTGAATGAGATTGACAAATTTATTCGTAGTGATGAAAATTCAACCAAAGTAAACTTGAAGGAAAGGACAATCTAAACACTTATAATAAATAAGTCAAAATCAGAAACAAGATAGGGATTTTATTAATAACCTCAATCCTTTATCATACTTGCTGTCTGTTCAAATTCTGTGAATCTATGATGACCATAAATCATAGCTATTACCAGCCCTGAAATATTGAGAATTAAGCAAACTGTGTCTTCTATTTTCATTCCTCGCACTTAATAATCAGTTACTGAAAACACTTCGTAAGGAATATTTATAACAATAGAGACAGTAGCACAGCTAAACAAATGGTAACGTAACTGGGTTTTTAAATGACAGCTTAATTTCGGGTGTAAAAATGAAATAGGTTATATTAATTTGAGTAACTGATTGCAGGAGTGTCGAAACTGACATTAGAGTATATCGACTTTGACAGTTATAATCAAGGAACAGAACCGAGTATAAATGTATTCTTTAAAAGTCCTTATGATAAAATAACATGGAGTACCTGTCATTATCTAACCAAGGAGCATATCTCACCCTGGTAGTTACCACTACCTTGAGGATAGGGTGAGTTCAAAGGATATTGATGACTGAGAATACTTAACTAAATTCAAAGTTTGTGATTTTAGTTCTGATGAATACATCAAACTGGGAAAATCAAGTATTTATGATTGAATACCAGTTCCAAGAATATACCAAACAACCAACACTGCATTGAGTACTATTAAAAATTAACCATTAATAGATTCTTCGATAGGAAAACTCATGTAACTGAAATGGAGTAATTTACTGTTTAACGAATCCTAAGCGGAAGGGAGTAGAACTTATTCTTATCAGTTCTATAGTAGTTCTATGATAATACCAATGTGAATGTCGTACAATATTTAATATAGATATTTCAAATGAATGAATTATAATATTTACATATAATTCTATAAACACACCACTTACCGAAATGTTGCCAAAGAGTTAACGGATTCGCTATCGTCAATAGCAAACACTAATATAAAACCTTCACTAATTTTAAAAAAATAATCTCGAATCCCTCTATAATCTTCCTGACCTGTATATTTTATTTATTTATTATTAAAAACAAAAACAAAAGAATTTTTGAAGAAAATGAAGATCAGTGTAACAGGATATTTGTTAATCTAAAGTCATTATATATTATATAAATATTAACTCATTTACTAGGTACGGATGTGTGCTTAGCTTAAAGCCACACTTTAAATGTAAGGGGGTAGTGATATTATCTAGTTGTTCAGATGGGATTAGTTGGAACGGAGTTCGGATCTGAGACCTAGTGGTTAGAAGTTGAGCGTCCTAGCCACTGAATAACTGCTTTGTAAGGTATTCTGGTAATATAATAGGGATAGATCAAGTGACCCTTAAGGAATTAGTAAAGATTTTCAACTACATTCTAGCTAAAGATTCTTCATCTAACTTTATATCTGTAAAACTTTCACAAGTTGAGATCGGAAACAACTCCAACGTTTCACTAAGCAGTTCGGCTCCGGCTTCAAGAAAATGATGTAGGACCGAAAATATCGAATATAAATACGGTTAACAAAGCAACTGTGTGTATAACGATTGAAAATGTGAAGGCGTGATAAGGAAAGAAATGAATAAATTTATATCCAGACCTGATGTGAAGAAAAACCAATGACTAAATACGACCCTGGGCTACGGTCGGAAATAAGATTAGTCAATCTGAATGATAGTCACACACCAAACATGTCAGAGCATGGACGGAATGAGAATAAATAAGTGTATATTTGTGTTATGTCAATTAGACTGGTTGTTTAAGCCATATCCAAGTATAATAACCTATTAAAACGAATACAAGCCATTTCTTCATAGAACATGACGTGGAAAAGAATAGTAGATTAAACTCACATTTACTTATCAGTCAATAGTTATTGAGGTACTCCGTCTCGTCTGTTCAGACTGTTTTAGTTTGCGCATATATGTAGGGATTTGGGTGTCAAATTCTCTTTGTAAGAACTAAAACTTTTCTGAAGGATATCTGTCCGATTGACTTTAATTATGTCCCGTTCTTACTGAATGCAGTGCTATTGCTGATTTAGCTTCAAGCATTTTGAGGCCCTCTGAGGATCTAGGAAAATAATTCAAACATAGTTTGTGTTCCTTCACCATTACACTTAACTATCGTGATATCTCGCCTACATATTCTTGTGTACATCTTTAGTAGTATCTAGCTAAATCTTGCATGTATAAAGAAAAACGAAACGGATGTCTTATTTTAATCCATGAATTTTACGCAGTGATTGGATTCTGAGTACGATAGTCATAAATGGAAACGAATAATGTTGGAGCTAATCGATTGGGTTAAACCAGGGAAATTCATCAACTAACCTGAATATTTCTGTTTTATCCCTTCAGATGGCAAGCTAATATGGCTACAATATCGTACAGAATCACATAAGTTAGTTACCATACTCATCTTTAGTACAGAATAAAGGCAGTAAAATAAATAAGAAGGCAGATCAATAAAAGAAAATAGTCGACAAGGAATTAGATGCTGATGTTTCAGAAAAGCATAAGAAGTTAAGGCATTTGTATTATTATGATTATTATTTGTTTATTTGAACACATAGATATTGGTACAAGGAGGCACCAAATACATACGCGCCACACAAATCTCACTTGACTTGTGTGAAAGCTGTGATACTGCCCGGGTGCCCAAACCGAACCAGGTGGTTTTCTTAGGGGGCCACACCCGGAGCCTTCGACCTGAAGGTCTGGTCCACAAGGCAGTGGAGCATCGTGAGGAGATGCAGTCCCATGGAAGCTGGTGACCAACGATTGGTTCATACGCCATTTGTTCCCGCAGGATACTGGAGCCCATGTGCACCATTGATTTGGAATCCGGTTAAAGCGCCGGACATTCGCTTTTCGTTCTCTCAATTTCGTAAACAATAACCCCGGCCACGAGAAGGCAGTGAGTAGGACTTCTCTGGCAGAGGCTATATACGCGTGGCCATGTGAGAGCATTTCGAGAGGGAGAGCGGACTCTCTCCACTCTTGGCCGTACCAGGGCATTTGGGGGCTATGATTGGTGCAGGAGGCACCAAATAGGTACGCGCCACATTATAAAATGAGGTTATGAAGACAGAGAAAAAGTGAGTATGATATAAGAGGAGAGGAACAATGGCGATCAGTCAGAATGTTACAACGTAGCACGTCACAAATATGCATCGGTCCCAGTTGCCACACCTCATTAGCACTATAAGATGAACACGGAATTCATAAAATTAGTTACTTCAATGATGGTAATATATAAAAGAAAGATTGCATGTAAGGATATAGTACAGGAAGAAAAAATTAGTTCGTAGAAAGAAAGATATGAAGCAATTTTAATCTCTTAGTTTAAGGGAAGATAGAGAGTGTATACACCTATGCCCGATCGAAGCTGCTACCTTGACGCGGTGGTCGGGCTTGCCTATCGTGATGACCCAACCGAGCTATATTGGCTGGAACATATGTTCCTGCAGGTTCTACCATGCCAGGCAGGTCGATTGGCGAACGGTAAGACTAAAAGTAGCAACTCAAGGTCTGAGGGCGAAGTCGTACTGCTGACTGTAGAGAGGTGTGACAGCAGTAAGGTGTTTCCCTCGGACAACCAGCATGACAGCGATGCTGTCTTCCCACAAGGAGGGGTGGGGTTAGAAAAGGTCGACCCTAAAAATGTCACACCTCACCTTACCTCACGGATTTCCGTCTCCGGCGATAAGGCCCCTTGAAGAACGGAGCTAACACGTCAAAAACCTTCCACAAAAAGGCCGTGCGCGACCGGCCTCAAGCAGTTGTCCCTTGGGCTCTGCGGTCACGCTCCCAGGTCGTCAAGACCAACACTAATCCAATTTCCTTTTCATATTCCTCAAGAAATACCCTTCCACGGTGTGGGCAGCCGGGAAGTGACATCAGCCCTCATACCCGTAACAGCACAAGAGACCAAATTGGTCACATTCAAATCCTTCCTACACCTCTTAATACCTCTCTTATCCTCCCGACTAACCCTCCTCACGTCTCTTTACCACCTCACACAGCTAGGGCAAACGATTCGAGTACGTGGAACGCCATTCCTGGTCTCCTGAAACCACGCTCTAAACTACACGTAGGAGCTTTTAACGTACGAACACTTTGCCAAATAGGACAGCAGGCTTCCTTAGCTAAAACTTTAGAATCTCGCGCCATCGATGTGTGCTGCGTCTCCGAAACGCGCATACAGGATCCAAGTAGCGTCATTCATTTGACCTCACCATGCCAAAATAAAGAACCGACTCGATTTACGCTTCGTGTATCTGGAAGCCCTGATTCTGCTTCCCGTGGCCTCGCCGGCGTAGGTATAGCATTGAGTCCTAGGGCAGAACTAGCTCTCTTAGAGTGGATCCCAGTAGACAGTCGTTTGTGCGCTGTCCGACTGAACGGAACAGTAAGAATCCGGAAAGATAGGGACACTCGTCGTTGCCTCTTCGTCGTCTCTGCCTATTCTCCCACTGACTGCAGCTCAGATGATGTAAAAGATGAGTTTTACAGAAAGCTTTCGGACCTTCTCCGAAAAGCTAAGCGCTCGGATGTAGTAATAGTGGCTTGTGACTTTAATGCTCAAGTAGGTAAACTAAGCGATAAGGAAAGACACCTAGGTGGATCCTATGGTGTCGTGGCTCAAAGAACAGATAATGGCGACCGTCTGTTGCAGCTATGCTCAGATAACCGCCTGTTCCTTGCAAATACTAACTTTAAGCATAAGGAAAAACATCTTTTAACATGGCGACCCCCTAATTCGTCCCAACGTTGGACCCAAATAGATCACATCGCTATCACCCACCGATGGAGGGGCTCGATAGAAGACTGTCGCTCATTCTGGAGTACATGCTTAGATTCAGATCATGCTCTAGTGCGAGCGCGTATTTGCTTGCGTCTTACTGGACGTAGGAAAGATCCTGCAAGGAAACCTCTTAGGGCCCTACTTAATGATAGTCAAGCTAAGAGTATATTTCAGGAACAACTAGGAAAAAAGTTAGGCAGCCATGTATGTGATGCCCACCCCGATGCAGCATGGAATGATATCCGAAAAGCTGTGGAAACAGCAGTGATATCTGCTAGTAAGGTAAACCAGAAGGTTAGGGAGCAACACTGGATCTCAGCAGCATCTATCTCACTGATAAGTGCTCGGAAACACATCCCACCTGGCTCTGAACATAATGAAGAGCGGAGTCAGCTTAAGCGCAAGCTGACAAGAAGTCTACGCAATGATCGCGAACAGTGGTGGGTAGCGAAAGCAAGAGAGATGGAAAAGGCAGCGGCAATAGGTAATAGCAGACAATTGTTTAGACTCGTTAAGGAAACCGGAATTAGGAACCCGACCGTTAGCGAAACAATCTCAGAGAAAGATGGACATATTATTCATTCTCAATCCAGGAGATTGGATCGATGGGCAGAACACTTTAGGGATCAGTTCAACTGGCCTTCAGCCACACTTCGGTTTCCCACGATCTCCAGTCAACCTGAATGGCAAGTTAATGTAAGTCCTCCGTCCCTTTACGAAGTTGAAAAAGCCATAGGAAATCTGAAGCGAGGGAGAGCAGCAGGCCCTGACAGGTTTACTCCTGAGATTTTTAAGGATGGTGGTCCAGTATTAGCAATGAGATTAACCGAGGTCTTAGGTAGAATTTGGGAACTGGACGTAATCCCATCTGACTGGTCTCAATCACTGATTGTGCCAGTTTTTAAGAAAGGACAAAAGTCCTCTTGTGACAATCACAGAGGAATCAATTTGACTAATATAGTGTCTAAAATATTAGCCTCAATAATACTTCGACGCCTAACTAAAGCTCGTGAAGAGCAGACTAGAGAAAACCAGGCTGGTTTTCGACCTGGACGTGGTTGTATAGACCACATATTCACACTACGTCAGGTTCTAGAACACAGACACACATTCAGACGCCCCACAATGGTAGTATTTCTCGACCTTAAGGCGGCATTCGACTCTATTGATCGTGAGGTTCTATGGCAGTGTTTGTCACTGAAAGGAGTACCAAAGAAGTACATTAACCATATAAAGGCTCTCTACTCGAACACAACTGGTAGAGTGAGAGCTTATGGCGAACTGTCATCAGAATTGATCACCTCAAGTGGTGTTCGTCAGGGCTGTCCACTCTCCCCATTCTTGTTCAACTTTGTGGTCGACGTACTTTTAGAGATAACACTCTCCTCATCTAAATTTCCAGGGGTTGAACTTCTACCAGGAGGTTCACTTGTTGACTTAGAATATGCAGATGACATAGTTTTATTTGGTGAAGACGCTGACAAAATGCAGTCTTCTGACCACTCTAAGCAACAATGCAAGCATGTTCGGGATGCGATTCTCTCCCTCGAAATGCAAAATGTTGCTTCAGGATTGGATGGCATTGACACCCGAACTAGTGATAGGGAGTGAAGTAGTTGAGTGTGTCGACCGCTTCACTTATCTTGGAAGTCTCATCAGCCCTTGTGGTTTAGTGTGACGAAATCTCAGCACGGATACAGAAGGCTCGACTAGCTTTTGCCAACTTGCGTCATTTATGGCGTAGGCGAGATATCCGTCTATCAACCAAAGGACGTGTTTACTGCGCAGCAGTTCGTTCCGTCCTACTTTATGGCAGTGAAACATGCCCGGTAAGAGTAGAGGATATCCGTAGGTTACTAGTATTTGATCATAGGTGTCTTCGAAACATTGCTCGTATATCCTGGGACCATCGAGTAAGTAACACAGTTGTTAGGAAACGGGTACTAGGTAAGGATGGCAAATCAATTGATGAAGTAGTGAAACTTCATCTGTTGAGATGGCTGGGACACGTGTTACGTATGCCCAACGACCGACTGCCTCGACGTGCTATGTTCAGTGGTATAGGAGTAGGTTGGAAGAAAGCTAGGGGCGGCCAAACCAAAACATGGCACAAGTCCATGAAGTCACTGACAAGTGAACTGAGTCATGTTGGTAGGTGTAGACTACCTGGTTGGGGACCGCGAGATGACAGCAACCGATGGTTAGAGACCCTGAATGACATGGCTCAAAATCGTTTGCAATGGCGCAGGTGCATCCACTCTCTGTGTTCTCCCAAATTCTAAACTTCTGAATTCTTCATGTCCCTTTTTTCCTCTTTCCAAATTTCTTCCACTGGATTATACTCTTTAAATAACATCTCCAAACCCTAATCTTCCCGATTACTGCTTATACTCTTATTACCTATACCACTACGGGATTTGAATCGACAAGTGCATCTCTGTGCTGTGGTGTGGCAACTCGAACTGATGTACGTACGTACGAAGTTCTACGTTGTTACTGACTGACTGACTGACTGTATACACCTATGCCATTGTGATTGTTTCTGAGCCATATCACTCAGAGTCTCCCACCATTGGTGACGATAGTCACGCTGACCCCAACCAAGTAGTGTGCATCTACCAACATGGCTCAGACCAGAAGTTAGTGGCTTCAAGCACTGATATCATGCTTGGGTTCGGCTGCTTCTAACTTTCTTCCAACCATCCCCAACACTGGTCAGCACTGCGCGTCATGGTAATCGGTATTCAGGCATATGTAACACGTGGCCCAACCATCTCAGTCGATGAAGATTCACAACCTCATCAACAGATTTACCATCATTCCCTGATACCTTGCGTCTAACCTCACTATTACTTACCCAGTGATCCCAACAGATGCCAGCAATATTTCTAAGGCATCTGTGGTCAAATACTAGTAGCTTATGAGTATCTTCAACTCTTAATGGCCACGTTTTGCAGCCGTAAAGACAGAACGAATTACCGAGCAGTATACTCGTCCTTATATTGATAGACGGATATGTCGGTGACGTAAGTTGGCAAAAGCCAAATGAGCTTTCTGAATCCGTGCTGAGATTTCATCAGACAACAACCCATTAGGGCTGATCAGACTTCCAAGATAAGTGAAGTTGTCAACGCGTTCGACTGCTTCACTCCCTATCCTTAGTTCAGGTATTGACGCAGACCAGTCCTGAAACAACAACTTGCATTTAGAGGAAGAGAAGCGCATTCCAAACATTCTGGCATTGTTGCTCAGTGCTACCAAAAGACTGCATTTTATTAGCCTCTTCACCAAACAGGACTATGTCATCTGCGTATTCTAAGTCGATAAGTGGATCTCCTTCCAGGAGATCAATACCCGAGAATTCAGTCAACGAGAATGTTATTTCCATCAGTAGGTCTATGATGAAGTTAAACAAAAATGGAGATAGTGGATAGTATTGACGTACACCGCTTGAGGTTGCGAAAGCAGATGACAGTTCGCCATAAGCTCTGACTCGACTGGTAAACTAATTTACCCTAATATTATTTTTATTTTATACAGAGAAGATCAGCGAATAGAAATTAGGGAGTGAAATAATAATAGTAGTATTACTAGTATTAATAATAAGGGGACTCCGATTGGTTTATTTTAACCTTCTACTACAAAAAACTTTGTTCTGACGACCTGAACTTAATTTGAACAGGAATTATTCCGTGGATTTACGACAAGTCTAATAGTATGAAGAGATTTATGGTTGAATATATCGACTTCAGAAGGCTGTCTGAAATCCATAATGAGTTGAAGTTACAACGTTTGATATTTAACTGACTTAGTTAAAAATACTTCCGGGTACTTAAGAGGGTATTATCTCAAAATTTGCAGAGTTCAGTTGATGCATCCAGGACTAATTCGGACTTAAAATGGTAACCTAAGTAGTTGTACAAATGTTTCAACCTGGTTAAATTACCCTTTTAAATCATTACAATAGTTCCAGTTTTGCGCTATACACTAGTGTTTGGTTACATTTGATTGGAATTTATGAATATTTGTGCTTATAGTGCATACTAGTTTGAGATGAGTAGCAGTTCTAAAAGCATGAATCATTTAATCTAATTGTGTTATAGGATACAAAGAAATTGGAGGAATATGCTGAATATATTGTGAAAGAAAAGTACCAAACATTGGAGACTCAGGAAGTACTCTTAAAATGTTAAGACAGCAATAAAAATAACCTAAGAATATTTTGAGAACACAAATATCCTTTACCTGCAGTATCTAGAATATCAAATTGTAGTGGCACCCCATCCAACGTCATTTTTCTCCTGTACGAATTGGCTTTTGTTGGTTCATAGTCCTGAAGAAACTAAAGAAAAAATAAAAATGTAAAAAGTATGCCAAATAAATCACCTCACTATACACAAACTGGAGAGTTAGAGAACTCTTGCCAACCCCACCAGATCCAACGATGGCAATTCTTAAAATAGTTGGTTGTTGCATTAATGCTGATGTTTGGGGGAATTATTAGGTAAAATTAAATCCTATAGGCGCAAACACTAGCAAGTACAATGTCGAGACCAAAAGCTTCTAGTCATATGATTATACACAGTATACAACGACCCGGTGGCCTTGGTCATTGATGGAGGTCGCTGAGCACCATATGGTCAAACAGTCACAAAGCGATTGGTGCTCCATCTCGACAACTTGCAAGTTTTGGCAGAAGCGGTCAAATCAAAACTGTGTCCGATTCCAAACAAATTTGTGGCTCATACACGCGCGATTTATGAAAGGACAAAGTCTGAATGGTATAGGTGATTTGATCAAGAAACACAATGAGTTCAATGACGCGCTCGTTTCAAAAAGGGTAGTGATTTTTGTACTTGTTGTGATTATACTTGCATTGGGTACTTATTGCACCAAAAAGCATTCTTGGTCTACTTTAACTAAAAGTACTTTGGTTAAACTTTGAAATTTTTTGCGAAATTTTATCCTGAGTACCATTTTTAAGTCCTTGACTAACACCTGTGTTCACTTTGTGATCATTTTGTGTTTTTAAACCTTTAAATCTAATTACAATGGTTGATAAGACTCACAAATGTGGGCAACCAAATTGTTTGTTCCCCGTTGAGGAGGGGATACAATGTGATGACTGTAAAATGTGGTACCACAAAATGTGTACACGCCTAAGTCCGATGGCATACAAAAGATGCTCGAAGCCTAACTCGCATTGGTTTTGTATGTTCTGCTGTACGGATAAAAAAGTGCTAATTAAGGAGGCTATGGGTCTATTGGCTTTGGCCTGCAAGAAAAACGACGACACATGCGCTGACAACACCGGCACTGACAGTGACGAATGTGTCAGTGTAGTATCTGCTGTTACGCGACGACTCAAACAACCGACTCTGATCGACGCAAAAGTGAGATCTCCTTTAACATTAACAAAGGGAGTAATACCACCTGTTACTGACATTGATAACAATGCATCTTTAGTGGAAACCGACGAACTGGATAAAACCATCACCGTTCCAAATAGTCCCAATGTCCTGAGGGATGAAAAATGGACTACGGTACGTAGGAAACGAAACGAAAGGAAAAAATCTGTAGGCAGTACACAGGTAGTTAGTAACTCACTGATGGACTCTCATTGTGAGTCACAAACTGCACTACCAAAATCTGATGGTAAGAGTGAAACCCATCCTGGCGTGACTGAGAAGAAAAATCGAATAACAGCTAAAACTAATGACTGTTTACTTGAAAAGTCCTTGGTGGACTCTCAGACCAATCCGCCAAAGCTCCAAAGAAAAGCTTCGTCTAACACTGTTGTGAGTCACTCACATGACTCTGTTACAATAAAAGCTAATCGTAAGATACCAGTAGTTAATATACAGGATCTATCGTCACGGTCGAAAGCTGTTAACACAGTTTCAAAGGAAGCTAAACCCCTTCCTAGTTTAATTATTTGGAATCTAGAGGAGTCGAAAGATAACGACCCTGCTAGAAGACATGCACATGACCTGCAGTTAGCGGAATCTGTGGTAAGAAATGTACTACCTGAAGAGGTTTCAGGGGTACATATTACAAAAGTAATACGACTTGGTAAATGGGTTGGAGGCGAGACCCAACCAAGAAGAATCCTGAAGCCGGTTCTCGGGAGTTTCGAAGAAAGAGACATTATTGAAAAACGCAACAAAAACTCGTGACTCAAATATCCGTATTCGACCAGATTGGCCGCTTGAGGATCGAATCAAGTGAAAGAATGCTCTTACGGAGTTAAGGACTCGCAAGTTAAATGGCGAAAATAACCTTACCATTAAGGGTTTTCGGGTAGTCAGGTCTTGGAAGCCAATGCTTCCGAGGCCTGTATAGGTAAAACGATTGATTGCCAAAACACCTTAAGCGTGTGCTACACGAACGCTCGTAGTCTTAGAAATAAAACGTTCGAGCTAAGTCTGACGGTGCAAGAATTATGTCCCGATATAATCGTTGTTACAGAAACTTGGTTCACAGTAGATATAGACTGTTCTCCGTTCATTGCAGACTATATCTGTATTAGAAGTGATAGAGTTTCAAGTCGCAAAGGGGGAGGTATAATATTATACGTTAGGGATCACTTTCGTATACAATCAACCATATTGGAGGCTCATATCACCGGCACATGTGAGGTTGCATGTTGTAAGATTAAATCTAGAAGTGGGTTAGTGACTATAGGGGGAATATACCGTAGTCCGTTTTGTCTTGCTGACGACTTTATCCTAAGACACATCTGTTCTTGGATTATGGCAGAATGTTGTCTCATCATTGGGGACTTCAACGCACCGCATATCAACTGGATAGAGCTTGCAGCTCCAGGTAGTGGTTTCGATAGCGACCTTTTATCCACCGTTATTCAGTGTGCGCTTGTACAATGTATCACAAAACCGACACATATTGATTTCAATCATGATTCGTCACTGCTGGACCTCGCCCTCACCCACCACTGTGAGGATGTTTTTGATATTCAGCACTTTCCCCCGTTAGTGAACAGTGATCACGTAATTCACTTTAAGTTTAGGACACATGGTATACAATTCGTATCTGCTCCACCCCGTCCCAATATTTGGCGAGCCAATATTCCGGCAATCAGAAACTGTGCTATCTCGACTGATTGGTCGGTCGACGCGGATGGATTGATCGAAGATGGATGGAATAAGTTTAAGGCTACATTCGAGTCCGTAACGTCGCCGTTTATCCCATGGTCAGCACGTAAGCTATCACATTGCCCTCCATGGATTAATAAGGAAACCCGGAAGCTGTTAAAACGTAGGAAACATTTCTGGGACTTGTTCTTGTTGACAGGTCATGAACCATTTAAGCGTGAGTACCGAAAATTCCGTAACATCTGTAAGAAAACCATAGCCAAATCCCGTACCACTTACGAACGACAGTTAGTATATGACAGCCGTACTTGTCCGAAACGATTGTTTTCGTATGTTAAACGGCGGACGAAACGTAGTGATGGTATTTCCCCATTACTGTTACACGAAAATTCAGAATTACTAGCTGAATCAGATCGAGCAAAAGCTGAGACTTTTTCAAACTATTTTAGCGAAGTCTTCTCCGCGTTTATTGTAACAAATAATTGTCCCACTCACACCGAGATACCAACCATGGAATCTGTACAGGTGACTGAGGAAACTGTCCTTCCGTTGATGACTAACCTCAAATCTGGTAAGACACCGGGCCCTGACGGGTTACATCCACGGTTGCTGTCACCTCTTGCGGACATTATTTCCAAACCGCTCGCGAAACTCTTCAACATGTCCCTTTCACTCGCTCAACTCCCTAGAGATTGGAAGGACGCTATAGTCAGTCCTATATTCAAGGACGGTCAGAGACAGACAGTATCTAACTACCGGTCTGTTAGTCTAACTAGCATAGTCGTTAAGTTACTCGAAAAGATAATTCGGGTTAGGTTGCTAAGCCACATAGCTTTACACAATCTGTTAGCTCCTGAGCAACACGGATTTCGTAACAAGCGTTCATGCTTCATTAACTTGCTTATTGCGAGGGAGGATTGGACAGCAGCCTTAGATAACAGTCTGTCTGTCGATGTGATATTCATAGATTTTAGCAAAGCGTTTTACCAGGTTTCACACGTAGGTCTTATGCAGAAGCTCACGACCTTCAGAATAATAGGTACTGTACATGAGTGGATAGGAAATTTCTTATGTGACTGCAGACAGAGAGTGAGGGTCAACGGAACGCTATCCGATTGGAAGCCGGTCAAAAGTGGTTTACCTCAAGGCACTATCTTAGGCCCTCTGCTCTTCCTTCTCTACGTTAATGAGTTACCGCTGTTACTTAGGTCGTCGACATTATTGTTTGCGGATGATGTAAAAATCTGGAGAACAATAAAAAATGCGGCTGATCATCTGGATCTTCAAGCTGACTTAGACGATTTAGTTAGATGGGCTCGAGAGTGGGGCTTAGAAATCAATGCTAGGAAGAGTGTACTAATGCACGTCGGTCACGGTAATAGTTACCGTTATACTATTAAGGGTAAACCTCTTCCATGCGTTCAACAGCATAAAGACTTAGGAGTAGTATTAAGTCATGATTTAAAAACAACTAGGCATTACAAAGCAGCTGCTGTCAAAGGTTTTCGAGCGTTATGGTCACTTCGCCGAGCGTTTAAGTCTTTTAACGAGGAAACGTTTCGAATTTTATATCCCACCTATGTAAGACCACACTTAGAGTACTGTATCCAAGCAGCTAGCCCGTGTCTGCTAAAGGATACTAACTCCCTTGAGCGTGTCCAGCGTGTGGGAACGAAATTAGTGAAGGGTCTTTCTAGACTCTCTTACGATGAGCGTTTAAAACGCCTAAATCTTTTCCCCTTGTCGTATCGTAGGACACGAGGTGACCTTATACTGGCATTTCGTATCTTTAATTATGATTTGGGTGTTAATATGTCTTATCTTTTTGCTCCCTCTAGCACTAATAATCTCCGAGGTCATAGCAAGAAGGTTCATAAACCATGATCTAATAAACTTAAAGTGGGGTCCCGCTTTTCTCATCGAGTAGTCAATCATTGGAACGCCTTACCCGAACAAGTGGTATCAGCCCCATCAGTGAATACTTTCAAGGAGAAGCTGGACCTTCACTGGAAAGCAGTGCGTCAGGATTAACACAGGTTCATCAACCTACTATTCTTATTACTGAAGACTGAAGACTGGCTTTCAGTGTCACCGGATAAGGAAACAGAGTTAGACCTGTATGTCTGGCGCCAAATTGGACCGAAGTTTGTCTAAACGGGGTGGATTTATACTCAACGCTTCCACGCAAAATTAATATATCGCCCATTGTAATAACGGTCATGTCTACGTTCATGTAGTCATAGAATTTTTCATGTTATAATGTATTTTTTATTAAATAACTAGATCGTGCTGTAAATTTTGCTCCGGTTGTAACGGGTTCACTTGAAAGTCTGTTATTCTTCCTAAGTTATGAGTCGTCCGAAA